ACAATAATTTTATTTCAATTAACTGAATGTTTTTGACCAATCATACAGTTATTTCGAGTAGTGCCAAATACCCGTCATTAGTCTACACTCTGACTTATGGAATTTCAGATCAAAGCCATATATTGCAGTAATGTAGGTGCTGCAAATTTTAAAATAAAATTAATTTTTGAGTCCTCTAAATCGTATTGAAGCCGATTTTTTTTTATTATATTTTCATTAAGTTGATTAAAATAAATTTATTTTTAAGTTCTTCGACTTAATGGATCAAGCTGATTGTAGTGCATAAAGGCTTTAGCCAAACCCATAAACCATGAAATGACATTACATTACAAGTTTTTCGAGTTATTTTTGATTTGAAATTTTTTATTTACAGTTATTGAATAAAATAGGCTTTTTTAATAAACTTCATTAACAATAAATTCGGTTTATATTTATAAACAAAGACAATTCAGTTTCACTTATTAAATAACATAATTGCACTTCAGGCCAACAGTGTATATATGTTAAACACTTATTCCATTAAATGTTTTCAAAGAATACAAATAATTGATAGTTTTAGGAACATATTGGTAGTCTGCAGAGTTACTGTACTTGATAGTGTTATCATGTCACGTATAGCAGCGCATTGATTTACATATTAAATCCCAAGGAATGTTAAAACATTGGCTTAAGAGCATTATAAAGTCCAGGTTTTTAGTTGATATGTTTTTTATTCATATGGGTTAAAGACATAGTATTTTCCTAAATATTTGGATTATGTGCGTCCACAACACCAAACTTATTTGCAATGTTCTATTTAGTTCCCTTTGATTAAGGTGGAATCAACACACTGCAGTTTTGAGAAGCTTGATTTCAGTCGCTCTCTTCTGCAGAATCATGTATATCAGAGGACTCTGACAGATCTAACTAGAGTAGTGACTCTAAGTTTTCAATTAGATTGTGTTGATTTGCAACTGACACAACATTTACATAATTAAATTTGCGTAAGAGTATGAAAAGGTTGTGAGTTAAATACCGCTGAAGCTAGGACCCAGACATTTGGGAGACTACTGTCAAGCTTCTTTATTTTGTTTTGTCTTTCATTGAGATATATATTAAATAAAATATAACAAATTGCAGAAATAGCAACATATTTTGTTGAAATTCGTTATTTTGCAATTTGTATATGAAATTAGTGACTTTATTCCACACTCCTTATGTCCTTATTCAAACCTAATACATATTCTTTTCGGAAACCCATATAAATCAAGATACAGGAAGAAGCCGAATTGAAGCAGCTAAACAATAAGTCAAAATGGAAAGGTTTAGGATGATCTTAATGACATAAAGAGATGCTAGTAGTTAGGGAACTAAAACTGACTAAAGAGAATATATCAAAAACTGAAATGTAACACTAACAATTTTAAGAATGATATCAAGATTTAAAAAATATTTTTTTTTTGTTAAAAGTATTTTTCTTAGTTTTTTCTTAGCATGTATTAACTCTAAATATTACCATATATATGTAAATTGAAAAATTTTACTTATAATTGAATCTTTTCTAACTAATCGTTCATCTGGAATTCTACTTTTTACTCTGAACTAAATAATTTTAGTAATTATTGCCCAATATTTTTGTGTTGAAATTAATCGATAACAAATTTTGGGTTATAACTCAACTCAATGTTGAATTTAGTTATTTGTTTAAAATCATTTTCCCTACTCCAACTGAATACAAAATAGTTCTTTTAATACAAAAAGTTATTAATTGGAATTGTTCGGTCCTTAATCAAGAGTTCACCAAACCAAACCACAAAAAAAAAGAAAGAATGACAAACCGCAAAATGCACATAAACTAACCTGCAAAATGCAACCATTTTACGAGGCTCATTACATTTATAATTAAGTCAACATTTTTGACTCGAAATTCGGAATTTGCGAGAATATCCTTTTTTCCTACATTTTTGCAAATAAGTAACAAAAACTTTTCCGAAATGACAACAATGCCACGTTGTTGGCTGCACTGTACCCATATTCGCAGATCCAATTCATCGCACTAAAATGCGAAATTTCACTAATATTACTAGTACAATGGCCTTAATTATGGTTTGTTCGCTTCAAAGGTACTTAATTAAAAGTTTGTCCTTTACAGAAACTTCTCAACAACGGAAATCGGTTGTTTGAAATAATTAAAAATGAAGTTTTACAGCTTGTAAAATGTCAGCAACTGCAATAAAGTTAACGTATGAGATGTGAAGGACAGGTTCAAACTTGAAAATATGCAAATGAAATCGGTATATAATATCAATATCCCACAAGTTGGATTAAATGATAACATAATACTACCCGAATATATTTTAGATGGTCGGAAAGTAAACATTTACATAAACATTTATTCACTTTATCAGATTAACATACTGTTTTCCCTTAACCAATATATGGAAAATTTTTAGCATAATAATTTATTAGTTAATATGAACTATCAAGAAGGTTAAGCATTGATTGATGGGACAGTTGTACTAACCATAGAAGTTTGGAATTATTTAATCTTCAATATTTAATCCATGCCTAATAAATTAATCTCTTTTGCTTTTATACACTTGTGCTACCGTAGTTTCGAATTTAGTTACGGTCTTTTTGGTTTAGGTTTTGAGCTTACCTTGTGATTTCAACCTCATCTCATTTGTCATTAAAAACCATTACCTCTCGAGTATACTTTTGAGTTCGGGGGTTAAAAAAAGATACCCACGAACTCCCCCGAACTATTTCAAATTGATATTCCATATTTTGCCAGTAGTCAAATTTGATGTCCAATATATTTATATATTCGTAATCCCTCCAGTGGTAATTCCGTTAATAGCAAAAAAAATCTGTTTTTTTTTACATTCATATCATTGAAAGATATGTCAGACCTCACGTCAACTGTAGTGTCTTTTCGACTTTACTAAAGCGTTTGTATACCTCATGAATGCTTGGTTAGGACACGAATGATTAAGGTATGTAGTATCACTGCAAATTATTTATTGCGTGCGTTTAATTATTTTACTGGGGATGGGCTACAAAATCACTGAAAGGAGATAAGACTTATAGTTACATTCTTTGTGAGGGTATCTGGCTTTGCTACTTTATGAGAGTAACAGAGCGAGCGGTTTTATCTGCGTCTAAGATAAAGACAAAATGCAAAGTACAGTCGCGGTGCCCTTGGGTAGTGGGAACATCGAGTTTTACTATATTATATTTCTAATTCTATTTTACATGCTATTATTTGGCAAAAAAAAAATTAAATAAATTTTTTTGTTGGGGAATGTATTCCTTTTATTAACCATTGTTATTAAAATTTTTAATCATGTAAGCAATTATAAACAATGATGAGATTTATTGATATTTACGTTTAAAAGAGATAATATATAAATTTATAATAAATTTATTATTATTTTTTATTTTAAGTAATTCTTTAAACAAACGAATATACAGTCAGCGACAAAACTCTACATACACCCCCCATTTTTGCTAGCTCGTAAATCCAAGGACATAATAGAAAAAAGTAATGATACAGTTTTGTTTAGAACTGTTTTTTAATAATAATAAACAAAAGAAAATCCATTCATCAATATAAATTAACAAAGTTATTCGAAAAAAACCTAAAAAAATCATTGACAAAAGTCTACATACACTTCATTGATTTTTAGATATAGTCGACAGAAATATAAATGTTAAACGGAAAAGTACCGTTTTTCATATTTCATGCTTGTGGCATGAGTCATACATTTATATAATGCACTTAGTTGTGCTTTGAGAGTGGTATTTAATTGACACGATGGGTCCACGAAAAGAATTTCAAGTGATATGCGAAATCTGGTTATTAAGCATAGAAATGAAAAAAAACCTTATGGTAAAAGTATCAAAATTAGTAAATTTGACTCGATCAACAGTTCAGACGATAATAAGAAATTATAAAAATACTGGTTCTCCTGAAAATAAACCTCGCAGTGGTCGCCCAAGGATACTCATACGTAGGGATGTCAGCTTGGTTTTAAAAGAAGTTAACAAAAATCCGAAAGTAATTGCCTTAAAATTAGTCGAACACATTGCTAATGCAATTTCTAATATTTCTAATATTTGTATATTGCAAATATATATTACATATATGTACTTAATATCTTTTGTAAGGAAAATATATAATACATATATATAGCAAGGCATATTATTGAATCAATTTAAACTAACTTTTAATCAATGTTGCTTAAATTTTTGTAAATTATTAAATCACATCCTAGGATATTCGAGAGTTTAATTAAACTTTGGCAAAAAGTGTGACACAAAACTGCACTATTTCTCAATATAACCTGATATTTTGAACTATTTATATCTTAATATATTAAGTCTATTAGAAATCAGATAAATCACTTTAACAAAATTTAATTAAAAACTCATCATCTCGTCATCCTTGAAGTAGCACAAGTAATTGCGGAAGTCCTGTTTCTAGTTAAATAGATTTTGAAAATAAAGTTAATAATAAAATTAAGTAACTTGCTACATCAAACACTTTAACAAGTCCAATTTACTTCAAGAACCTAATTGTATGCCTAAATATAGCAATTTATACTTAAATACTTATTTACTTAAAACTTTATTAAGCCCTTCGAAAAAATTAAAATAGTTTTAATATCTTAAAATTTTAGAGTTTTGTCGTTAGAGGAGAGTAAAATGCAAATTACGATGAAAAAAAAAAATAAAAATGCAAATATCCGCACTTGAAAACTATACACCTGAGCGCATAAATTAATTAAAAATCTTGTAATCTCTAATATAAGATAACAAAAGTTGCAAACTTTTGCTGCTAAATGGAATGTTGCCATGGAGCAATCCTTGCAACATTACAAACTTAAGTGTAATTATTTACTGTAAACTTTTAATAAAAGTTTAAGTTCGAAACTCTTTTTGCAGTTTATTGAAACTGTTTGTTGCTGCCTATATTAGCCTTGCTAATTTTTTTTCTATTTTTACGTTTCATTTAACAGCAATTCATCTGGTTCGAAAGAAGCATCTACACCGGCCACAACGCAGGCACGTCCTGGCAGCGCTGCAGGTGGCAGTGCTGGTAGTCAAAGTGTTGGTATGCCCATCAATTCAAAGGAGACTGCACCTGATGCGAGACAAAATTTCCTCACTACAAAGAAGCCCACACCGCATGATCGCTTTGATGACTTGTCGAGAATACTGCTTGATGTGGTTGGTCAGCAATACACGCACGTCATTGTGGATAGTAATTTTGATGACGATGAAGCCAATCCAACGTTAGGTGAAATTATGAACATGAAACCAGGGTAAGCCACTGTTAATAGATTGATAGCTACGTTCATTGATTTGAAATTATTTGCTTGAACATTGGACTTTTGTCGAAAATTAAGGGAGTTTAATTGCATTACATATTTTAAGACCATGAGTCGAATAGCACTGACATGCTGTGGTTTGATTAGATCATTTGAAATGAAATTAAAATCGAAATAACATTTTTGTGTATTTCCTACGAAATAAAATTAGTCTAGTTTCAAAAAAAAAGGTGGAAACCATTTTAATTGACAGTCCTGTTGAGGGCACTCAACTATTGGGTGAATAATTTTCATAAAACGATTGTCTTTTTATCATTATTTTAAATAATTGAACTCTTTTTAGTAAGGCAACTCTCTTTAATGGACAATTATAGCTTTACACTTAAGACAGTTCTCACTCTACTAGCAAAACCATTAAAATGAATTACGAATAATTACTTAAAGTAGATCTTTTTAACCATTAAATTATGGCTTCCATTTGAAACAATATGGAAAAACACCTTCAGAAATACCGTTTGTTAATCAAAACAAAAATAAATAAATTTTTCACTATTACTCTTTCAAAAACTTATTATAAAAATACCCATTCACTTTTAAGTTTGATGTATGACAAGGATCCATCTTATCTGTTCCATTGCTTATTTATGTCCTAGATAAAATAAGCATATATGACAAGATCCAGTGTTCATGGACTCCATTTACCTAATTATGAAATTACAATGATGGCATACATCCACTTTATCTTAGTTGCTCTAGTGTCCAAATTAAAATGGGGTTGCATTTTTTCCATCCTTTTCTTGTGAAAGCGAAAAACTAGATGTTTTCAATCCATAATATATCTCGATAGCATTAAACTAAATAAAAGCTGAGTAGTGAAAGATGTTCTTTTCAGAACCAATGAGACTAGAGGCTGGTTTTATTAGAACTAGAAATTATGACACCTCAATATGTCATATTTTAAATAAACAAATAAACAAGGAAGATAATCGGTACAATCCTGTCAAAAATTCAGAGATGGTATCAGAAAGTATCTTATACTTGAGCTGGTACTAGCCAAATTAAAACTAAAATAGTTATTTAGGAATGCAAATGCAGTTGTATAGCGCATACTCTTAGAATTCCAAATAATAATATTGGTTCACAGGAATTAAGGTTGAAGTTATCAAATTCTTGGAGCTTTAATGACCCAACCATCAGTTGAAAGAGTATAGTGTAGCGTTAAATGCTTGCATTATGTTTTACAATAAGAGAGAATATATAGTATTGAACTTTACGATTGTACAAGACAAACTAGCGTAGCAATAGTTATTTAAAAACGCAGACGAGTTTTAGTCGGTTCTAGGTATACCAATGAGTCAGTCATATCTTGGCAGAGAACACTAGGATGCGAAGGTACAAACATTTTTGTTTGGACTTTGCTTTTTGAAGTGATTTCAATATCACCAACAATAAGTTATTACGTATATGTATATATAAAAAGCATAGCATTTATTTAATATTAATATATAAATAATTTTATGCATTTTTTATTTAAAGTTTTTATTTTTTTATTAATAACACTATACGCTTTAGTAGAATTACTTGAATCCATTTAAACCTACAAAAACCACTATCAAATTCGACAACATACGCATACACCTTATGCTCTGAGACTGATTCATCATTCGCAACCCCTAGCGAATAGAAAAACTCTAATGAATCAATTTCAAGAAAGTATCGACAAAGGCAAGAATATCGCATAAAACTTTATTTATCGCTTAAAAACTTCACATAAATAAAGATACTTAAATAAATCAAAATGAAATAAAAACTAGAAATATCCTTCGCACTATAGCAGTCGGCTATGGAAATGTCGATTGCTTGTGATACAATATAATCATTACAGCTGGAAGAGCCGTAACAATTGTTACGGTAGCTGAATAAATGTAAAAATCAATTTCCTTTAAACAAGAAGGATAATACATTTTGTATCTCAAGTATCGCATAACAGGTGCAGGAGCAGATAACAACTCTCTGATCAATGGGGTAGAAGGCATGCAGTGAACAATAGTTTTCACTCAGCTCAATTCGGTTTACAAGCGAATACACTTGCATGCATTTGTGCCTGCGCTTGTTGTACATCTCGAGCTGTCCTGGCACGGAGTTGCCGGAGGTAAACAGAAAATTGTGAAATGATTTTAACAAAAATTTACGCTAGATTGGCGTGGCACAGATACACAAGTGGCTTAAATGCATGCCAGATACATAAACTTATGTGTGCGCAAAAATCGTATATGAAAATCATATGCAGCAATATTATTGAATATTGTACACACATTTCTGTTCGAATGCTTTACGAGTTCAATGTTGTCATGAGGATATGTGGATATGACGATATGAGCACACACGCACGTCTAGATTTATATGAACACACCAGTAAAATGATTTGTACTCGGAATAATAAATGAGCTATAAAATATTCATCATAAATTGAATCAAGTTTAGCTCTGATATGAAATTTTTTATCTAGAATTTTTTAAAGTACAAAAAATTTTCTTTAAATATTTTTCAAAATTGTTGTTTTTAAACGACATAAAATGATATTTCAAAATGATAGAGAAAATATTCCCTTTACAGGAATATATTTTTTTTAATCTTATAGCTTTATTTAGTATCTAGTATCATTTGAATATATTAAATAAATCTTCTTAAAATGTTGTGCAGTTTTCATCGAGTGCATTAATATAATTACTAAGCTTTTGATGAAAATTTATGAAGTATCTTCTAACTTTCTAAAAACTCTTTACTTAATACATTTATAAAGTATTTATAAATGATTGACTAGCCGTTTCCCACAAATATCACAGGTTGCAGTACAATTATTGACACATAATTTTTGAAAAATTCGAATATAAAAAAATATTAAAATTAAATAATAAATTTATTTATTTTCATATTAGTTATTAAAACTAAAAAACAACAATTACAAACTAAATTTGGGAAATGTTATGATTTAACATAGAACATAACATAGAATCATTTATTTTGTGTTTGGAAGACATTTCCTCTATGATTGCCTAACATTCGATTTTAGAAAACACAGATTTTTACAAGAAAGTTCTTTCATGACAGTTTGTCCGACTGCTCAATAGTCAAAACAAAAAATTTATTGAACTATATAAATTCAACTGGAGGGTTTTATTTTATCTACAGGGGTTTCTTGTGAGGGTTCTTGTTATATTAAAGCATAAATTATTGCGGGCTATATTAGACAGAAGGCTGTCTTTAGTCGCTGAAGATGAGTCACTGCAACTATGTAATGGAGCAATTATATTGGTTGGATCATGCCATTTGATGTAAAATACAAAGCAGTTCAAATATCCCAAATTGTAGCTTGAACTATAACCTTACGAAATTGACAACTTAGTCTCATAAAAGTTGTGAGTTTTGTATGGAAGAAAACAAGACCTCAAAATAGGTGCTGAGAGTTTTTGTGGCAATGTTATACAAAACAAGAAAGCACTTATGTGAGTATTTCATTTCAATTAAAGTACTAAAAATCTGTATTGAGATTCAATACTATAATATTAAAGAAAATGTTAGATTTGGAGAAGTACTCGGCTGTGTACAATTTTGCAATATAATAATTATAATGAAATTCGCTTATTTATTGTTTCTTTTATGTTATGATACTGAGTCGAAAGAAACTCTTTCGACTATATCCTTGTTAATGCTGAACATTCAGCCAAAAATAATGAGAAATTATTCCTTTTCCGATTATGTTGCATTTCCTACAGTAATCCTTTTCCGGCAAGCACACGGCCACCATTACAACAAAATACACAAATTTTTAAAACTTATTCCCTGTCAAAAGTATTTATAACATAATGTTATATAAAAAGCTACACAATAAATTTTTAATAGGAAAAATTAATTTAAATGCAATATATGTGAGATTAAATTACTTAAATTTATAAAAATGAATTCAAAAAAAAAAAAATTCACAATTGTTCTTGATGTGTCATCTATTGAAGCATGAGTTCATAAGTACACAATCGCTTCTAGAATTTATTGATTTTAAATATTTAATAAATGTCAGTAAATATTGATTTATTGTTTGCAAAATTTTTTAAGTAGAATAAATTTAACTTAAAGTTTAATTTGGCTGTCAACATGAAAAGGTTTTATGTCAGTTACAAAGATTTACATGAAGACCCAAGATAAAAGGGACGCAACTGAAAATTCATTGTTCGAAGGCAATGAAGTAAAACTAATTTCAATGAAGAAAAAAATTTAAATATTCAAATCTTTAAGTAACTAAATTGACAACATTTCAATAAGTTCGACAGTCTTTGAGTACTAAAACAAGATGACTGACATTTAAGTTGTCAGCTGATGCTCATTTGTTCTCATTGTTTCGCATTGTTTGATATTAAATTTGAATTGAATTAAATTGATGAAGTTGTTTGACTTTCGAAATTATGCAAAACTTAAGCTGATTACAAACTTCAGACATTTTATAGGTTATTGTTGATAATAATATTTTTTTTTTGGTTCATAAAATTTTATATAGATATTAATAAAGAGGTTTGTATACTATTTTAAGGGTACCGAAGTGGTCTAGCTCTATATTTTATGAACACCTTCGAAGCTTATGTGGTATAATTTTTAAAGATAAACACACAATATTTATATAAAACTTTTTACTTCCCCTCTGCCCATTGTAGCGCAATTATATTTGCAAAAATATTTAAATTTTCCACTAATTTTTGGTCTAAATGATTAAGTTTTTATGCAAGTTTTTGTAGAAATTTAATGCATAAACTTTCCTCTATTGTTATGAAAATGTTGGCATTTTTTCCAAGTTTCTTGAGTATAACTTTAAGTCAGCCTTTCATTGAATCTCCTTGGATTTCATTGTGCACTTGTGGAACATCAGCTGTTGACTTTAAATTTTACTGACATTTCTCTATTCAACAACGGATAACAAGAAGCTCTTCATTTTCATTTTCAAC